GGGGAAAATCCGCACAATTTACCACGCTTCAATGGCAATTTTTCCTGGCCTTTGTCGTTGCGTTATTTTCGACAGCCACAGCGCAGGGTAAGTAAAGTACCTGCAATGCGTACAAGTACATATTTATTTTCATATTCATGCAACATTCGTACATACAAAAAACATGTGATTCTACATATGGTGGACTCCTCATACTCGTACTCATGTGTATTACATATGTACATATGTACGTACATGCTATGTAAGCACAATTTGAGCGAACATATGACAGCGTGTGACATCGTCATAGCCATCACCAACTGCACAGCAGGCGGTGGCGGGGGTATGTAACAAGTGTTTATAAAGGGAATTGGAGCATTAAACATTCAGCGGCTATTTTAAGTTATGCTGCTGCCATGTCTTACAAAGCCAACAAAAAGCGCAAAGGCTTTAAAAATAGCACCACTGTGTAACGGCGCGAGTGTATGAGCATGGACAGCATATTAACAAGTTAGAGAACTGAGAGTTGAGTATAAGTTGCGAATTGTGTATAAAAATAAAAAATCGATCAAAAGCATATTATTTGCACTTTATTTGGTTACAATAGCAAAGTTATTGAAAAATTCCGATATTTTAAATTACTTAAATTCATTAGTCAATATAATTATCATTACTTTTAACGATAACATTATTGACAAAAAATCGATATTACTACGCCACTAATATTAGTAGATATACATAAATATTGATATTTTCACAGATTTATGGTTTTCGAAAAAATTTCGAGACTACTTCGGGATACCCGGGACTATTTCGTGATTTTCGGGACTAAATACATACATTTTTATTTATATATTTTTCGAAATATTTATCGATATTGTTATCGATATATTTATCGAGAATTTTAATGATATTTTGTATATATATTTATCGATATTGTTATCGATATTTTTATTAATATTAATATCGATATATTTATTGTTGTATTTTTCGATTTATTTATCGATATATTTACCAATATAGTTCTGAAAGCACTGCAATTTCAAAATAAGTCTCGAAAATCCCTAAATAGTTCCGACAACCCGTCAATCCTAAAAATCTCGAAGTAGTCTCGAAAATCCCAAAATAGTACTCAGAATACCGAAAATCCTCAAACTAACTATTTAGCGCTAACCATCCAAAATACGTAAAGATGTAGTACTTTGGTATATACCGCAACATAAATACCTAAATACTTTTGTACTTAGCACATAATACTTTGTAAATAAAATTTTGCCCATTACTTATTCAAAGATAGTATATTCTGCGAGTTTGTTTCCAGATATGAAAGCCTAGCCTACACAAACAAAATATTGTCATCAAACCTAAAAGCTTAATTTGTGCTTAAAACCCCAGAGAATTGACAGACCTGTGTGACTCTTAACATTCTGCTTAATATTGCGCCGGTCGATGACACTGGTAAGGCTGAGGGGAACCAGGTGCTTAATCGAATTAGGTTCTGTGTATTAGGCCGCAGTGATATTGCAGTAAACTAGAAAGGCACCTTTGTCTAGCCGAGGATGAACTAAAGGCGGTCAAGAGATCTACTACGGCTCACCAAGCCCCAAAATTAATTCCGGCAGGTGTACCAACAGAGGAATTCACGCGCCAAGACTAAATGTGTTCCCGGACCCTTATCGCCGTAGCTGGTTGAAGGTCAAAGAAAAGGAACTCTTCTACTCTGACATCTTCCACCCGCGAAAATTTGTTCTGGACATACAACGCTTTCTTTTATAGCTGAATAATTAAGAGTGGCTATCAAATTAGCAGTCAGTATCAGTGAGTCAAGGTTTTGCGGGATACTTTGGAAACCGGTTGGTCATTAGCAAAATACAATTGGGCAAGACGAACAACTAGATATATTGAAACCAATCATGACTTAAACAGTAACGCGTTACTATTTCTGTAATAAGAGATCCTTTTATTGACTTTAATAGAAAGTAAACTGCTGTACAACAGTGTAAGTGAAGAGCTTGATAAGCAATGAAGCAGAAATGACACGATCATGCAACGCGTTGTACGTGACTCTGGACGAAGAACGAGCTTACTTTTAATGACTAATAGGCAATGCTTATAAAATATCGCCTTAATCGCCCAAACGTAAACAAATTTTTGCAGTGTGCGCAAAATGTTAAATGCGCAAAAGAGAGAACGTAAAGTGGGCAAACAAAAAAATAAAAAATTTATTAACTGAGAATATTTAAAGAGTGAATTTTGATATTAACCGAGATCGGAACATTTAGGAAACCTTTAGTTTTCTTGGAATTTGCCGGTACAGCTATTGTATTTTTCAGTTGTTTCCGAGATAAATTTTGGGGGACCTTGTGGGATCTTTCTGGTATCTGTATATATAAATACTATTAGGTATTTGCTCGGAATTTTTTATTCGGTATATTTGAATTTTTTTGGTGGGAGTGTTTCAGAAGTTTCAAAATGTTTCGGGGTTTTCGATAATATCGGTACTTAGTCGGGACTTTGGGACTAATTCGTGATTATCGAGACTGATTAGGGTTTTTGGGGACTGATTCAGAATTTTTGTTGCATACAGCGTCTATTATTTTTTCATGGGGTCTCCAGGACTTAGTGGGGTTTCGAAATTATCGATAGCACATATTTAGGGATTTATGGGCTAATTCGGGATTGGTTCATTATTTTTTCATGGTCTTTAAAAATTATTGGGACTATTTTGGGATTTTCGGGACTAATCTGGTATTTTCGAGGCTACTTCGGAATTTTTCCGAAAGTTATTTGTTCGTGGAAAACTAAACAATTCAGTGTAATGCTTTATGACCGGTTTCGGTTTTGCAAAGTATTTCGGTCTCGGTTTCGGTTTTGGTTTCATTTTTCAAATTTAGTCTCGGTTTCGGGTTTGCAAAAAAAATCAAAAATAAAACGAGTTTGACAAAAAAATAAAAGTGTTTGCTGTGTTTAGTTTAAATTCATATAAAGAAAAAACCTCTGAATCACACTTTGCAAATTGCCTATCAGCATGAAAGCAATTTTTCTTTCAAAACAATAAGCAGTTTTTGGTTCAATTTCAATAGGTGATCTCTCTAAGCTTGAGAAAATTGTGTCCTAAATAAAATATGAAAAAAATAAAATAAAATAAAATAAAGAGAACCCTACGTGTGAGAACTTATAAGCATTAGCACATTTGAAAGGAATTTTTTTCGAACGTGTAAACGGAAAGTGCCGCTTGATTTATTTTACTCAATTTGCAATGAAACCGCACTTTTTTTTAATAACAAACTCGCACCTTTATAGTTACCATCGACTTGGTTTCAATTATCCTTTCAAGTCGTGTGGCAACTTGATAGTCAAGTCCAACAGGTGATCATATTTAATTTGTTCCAGTACTCCAAAAATTGGCCAGATTTTGTCTCAGATAAATGTGTGTACGAGAACGAGGCGAGAATTTTAAGTTGTTTCCTTGACGGCAGCATATTAAAATGAAAATGGACTATCAAGTTGTATGCAGCCTAGGTTATAGCTGTCAATTCAAATGAATTTTGACAAGCAGTACCTATGTGTAATCAACTTGAAAGCAAATTCTTGATCGTGTAACGACACAGTTGTGCTACTGAAAAAAAAAACAGTTTGTGGTTGCCAGTTCTGGCAGCTGATTTTTGTAGTTTTCTGGAAACCGATTGGAACCGGTTGCTGTGTTTGAAACGGTTTCGGTTTCGTTCTTTTAATGGTCTAAATTTCGGGTACGGCCACAATATAGTTATGTACATATTTGTATAAAATGTCTCTAACTGCGTAAGTTTCTAGTAAATTTGCCGTAATTCCGCCGACAGTATTTATATTTTCAATCTGACTTGCACCGGTTGGGTTATTGACATGAATGTATGAGTAAGTACGTTTATACCTACATATATATGTATTTTGTGAGTGGATGGCAATTTGCTGCGCATAACAGACAGCAACTGATGTTGATAGACATTTTGATACCATAGCGTACGCCAAAATGTAATGTGGCCAGGCTGTAAATTCATTAATAAAGGTAATTACCATAACATAGTAGCTTTCACCGTTCGATATACATACATACGTCGACGTGTTGTTTAGGTGTTTTGCCTTGTTTAACTTAACGTCAAATAAATAATGGAATTACTTGTTTAACCTCTTTGGAAAATTACAGCCGGCACATTAACAGATTTTTTATTGCTTTTATTTAATTAGCTAGGGACAGCTTGAGAGTATTTGTAAAAAATTTATATTTTTATTGAATTTGGGGCTTCATACTTTGGCAATTTGGTCAGAATACTTTCGTATTGTTTTTAGAACTATGTAAATATGTATTTTAAATACCTGCGTGCATTTACTTTCCAATGGCTACATTATCGTAAAAGCCAATGTTTTGGGAGTAAAAATAACATTTTATATTTAATTCAATTTTACCATACCTATATATGTAAACGGTGATTTTTTAAGAGCTTGATAACTTTTTTTTGTAAAAAAAACGCATAAAATTTGCAAAATCTCATCGGTTCTTTATTTG